CACGTATTTGCATCTTCCAGACATTAAGCCTTCCCGGTGAGGAAGGCTCTTCCCAAGAGCTGAATCATCAGTGTCGCCCTTAGTCAAGTTAGGTCACGGTGTTGGTGCAATATTTTTGGTGTTAGGAGCGGGAATGAGGAGATTAACCCCTAATGACACTCTGACAATTAACAAGCCAGGGAGACCAACCGGGGAGATTAGTGCCATTGTTTCAGTCTCTGCTGAGTCAGCACAACGTGCCTTGGTTTATCTCACCAAAAACCACCTTTTTGTTCCCCGACGGCCGGTTTTCCAGGCCCCCACAGCAGCTGGAAGCGTGCTTGGCGAGGGCACCGCAGGGGTGTGACACCGTCGGACTCTGTCGGTTGTCCCCGCGGACAACCCCCACTTACAGATGTGGCTGGACAACCCCTGCTGACAGATGTGGCTGGACGCGGGTCCCTCCTCTGGAAGGTTTTAACCCCCAAAGTTGGCCTGTCCAACGCCCGTGGCAGTCCCAAACCGTTAAGTTCGTTAAGCCACCCACCTGATTGCAAGGGAAGCGTGAAGGTCCCACCCAGCCAGAATCTCCCGAATGCTTTCACTTTTCATTTTCAATGTATCCCAAGTATTTTTTGATGCAGCAACAAGCCATCCCTCCTTCTTCTGTTTGTTTTCTCTTAACCTTGGTCGTGCCGATGCCTACTCACCCTGTCCTCTTGCACCCCTCAGTTCACCACGGGCACCTGTAACGACGCGGCGGTGCATAGCTGCGAGCTGTGCGGCAAGGGCTTTCGCTTGCAGCGGATGCTCAACCGTCACATCAAGTGTCACAGCCAGGTGAAGAGGCACTTGTGCACCTTCTGCGGAAAAGGCTTCAACGACACCTTCGACCTGAAAAGACACGTCCGGACCCACACCGGTGAGAGCGCGTTCGCCGGGGGGCTCTGGGGAGCGGGAGGTGGGAGAAGGGGTGAGGTGGGACAAGGATGGAGGGTGAGGGTAACCCGGCAAGGCAATATAAATCCCAGGGAGCCAACGTTGGCAAAAACCAGTGGGGATGCAGTGGAGGAAAGGG